TTTTTGATGCTGTCGACTTGTGATTTATTTTCACCTGAGGTTTGGTATACTCTTAGCTTTTTTTTTTCTGTCTGTGGCTTTAAACCCAAAGGGATGGGAATACAGTATTGACTTCATCATGTCAAGTACTGGTTTTTATTCGGTCGGATCCGCTTTACCGTATCTTTTACCCTCATGTACATAAGGACATTATTTTCCCCTTTCTTTAAATTTCAAAATCTTCTCATCTTTTTACAAAATCTTCTTTGTTTATAAATTCGAACCGCTTTCATAATAAACCTCGACTTTGTCGAGTGCTTTTTTCTTTTAAAACTTCTTTTCTTTAAACAAACTTCAATTCATTTAATCATACTTTGAAATTTTTCAAAAACTAACAAAAACACTTCAACTCATTCAAACTCTTTTGTGCGCCCGAACACTTTTATCCTCCAAAACATTTTTTTTCAAGATGAGACATGATTCATTGATAGTCGAGTAACATTCTCCTATCCCCATGGTTATAAAGGTGTCGACTTTTCCACTTGAGTACTAGAGGCGTTCTCAAACCCTCACTCTTGCTGACACATGGTCCATCTTTCCCACACCTTGTGGGGGTTAGTCGATATTTCTCTATAACAATGATGACTTGTCTCCTTGTTTAAAATCAATCAACAGACAAGTCTTTTCTAGCCGAACTACGGTGCTCTGACTTTCCCATTGCACGAGGGAGTATGTAGGCACTAAGTCTTACGACCCAAGGCGAACAACAAAAATAATAAAAAACATTTTCTTTTGTTTGCAAATAAAAATTCATTCTTTCCCTTTATCAAGTAAACCTTTACATAACACTCATTTTAAAAGAAACCAAACAAAGTGGATCCTGCGGAGTGCCATAGATGCTTGGGGTGCTAATACTTTCCCTTCGCATAACCGACCCCCGTACCTCGATCTTTGATCTTTTTGGGTTTTGTTCGCTTTTTTCCCATTTCCCTTTGGAAACAATAAAGTGAGGTGGCGACTTCATTGTGTTGAGATAAGTCAATTGATGGCTTAATCTCAAATCTTTACCGCTACATTTCTTTACATATCATCACTGTCGCAATTGAGCGCCAAAAAAGTGTGCGACAATTGGGCATTGTTTTAGCACAATCAATCTTTTCTTGCGGCCAAAATATCCCAAAAGTCCGATCTCAATTAGCGTAGTATCGAGTATAAACTAATCTTCAGCTTTGCACCAAAGTCGACTATCTCACTACTTCCTAATGGCCAAGTTGTTCAATTAAAGATTCTACGGTCAATTAGTGCTTTATGACACGGCTCAGCGGCCCCATATTCTCCTCGATTCAACACAAGGGATACCGGTACCAACAAATACGTCACACTAACGTAGCCATTGCTTCAACCATATTGGTTTATGTCGTACAGTTTCTACAATCTATTGCTACTTACCTAATGATGTTCTCAGATCTGGGTAGAGGATCAAAGCAAACCCAAACAAGGACCCATAAATGTAAAGCAAATAAATCAAACAATGAAAGTATTTAAAGATGATCTAGTCTCTAAGGTAACCCCACTTTTAAGTTATAGTCTCTAGCAGAGTAGCCAGTTCTGTAATACGATGAGAGAACTGACTTGGGTGTTTTGTGTTTTATCGCAATTGTTGTGGATAGCAAGAGTTGCCACCGAATTTTCTTTTATCCAATAAAGGAAAGGGTGAAAAGAACAGGAAAGACCTTTTGAGAATTTTCTTGAGTTCGGGGGTAGGTTATGAAAAGGGAATGTGTTAGCACCCTTTCCATTCGTAGTTATCTACGAGCTCTTAGTTGCTAGCTCACTTTGAAAATTCTTTATTTGAAATGTGTTTGTGTTTGTTTGAAAGTATTTTTGAAAAGTGTCTTTGTTTAGGCGAATTTTGTAATGATTCTCGTCTCTATAAGAATGCATACAAAGTGTTGACTTTTGAAAATATTTCATGAAAAAGTGTTGGTGTTTTTGAAAGATGTTTTGAAATGCTGTGAGCAAGCAACTACGAGCGTTCTACCTACTCAAAAAGTCTTAGTTCTTTTTCTCCTCCTTTAGATAGCTTTATCTTACCATTGATTAATAAGAAGCCCTGTTATTGGATGCAAAGGGACAGGCACGTGTCAATCGTATAGCCATAGAAAGAAACTTATAAGACGCTTTAACAATTTTCGTAAGGGACTAAGATCGTTTTACGGAAGGCAACGTCGAAGGGTCATCGAGGGACTACGATCTTTTCATTCGAGGGTCTTTGCTAAAGCGTCTCACATTCGAGGGACATGACTATTTTCCGAGGCAACAAGCGAGGTTATCTTAGAGGTGCGCGTGTGAAAAGTGTGTTTGATTGGATGCATTTTTGTCTTTGAGATTAGGATTTTCTAACGGTTGATTTTATCTTACCATATACACCCTAATTACTAACAATTATATTAAAGCGATAAATTGCGAAACTTAAAATCCTAAACTATTACATCACTTGGGGGATTGGGGTACAATTTACAAACGGGGATGAAGTATAAGCCTAATTATTAAAACCATATTAAATAGCAATGAAGAAAAATATATAGAAAATATAAAAACAATGTAAAAAGAAAGGAAATTTTTTTTAACCATTATGTGTCGACACATGCATCTATGCATCAACACAAAACCCTTTTTGTTCCTATAAAACCAAAATCAACTCAGTATGAGTTGATACATTCGTGTTTGGTGTCGACTCATACACCTTTTGTCTTTCTGTTTTCGATCTGGATAGAAGTATGTATCGATGCATAAGGCCTTGTGTCGACTCATACTCTGTTCTATCACTAAAATGTGTTGACTCATATGAGTATGTGTCGACTCATGCTGCAATTTTTTAGCTCTAATATCGTTCTATTGTCTGTACAAGTTAATTCTCAACATATAATTGATAAAAATAAATAGTAAGCATGTGATTAGTTTCAAGGACAAAGATATCTATATTTTATCTTCACAAATGAACCATTAATGAAGCTTTGTATGAAGAGTTCAAAGTCAAGAAAATTTACCTTGAAACCGAAATTTGTGCTTTAATTTAGAGTTGCAGAAGCTAAGTTGCAGGTGACTGTTTTTGGAAAATGGTGATGATGATGTAACAAAAATTGTTCTTGTGTTTCAACAACTCCCGCATGAGGTATGTAGAGTGTTTGAATGGTTTGTTTGGATAGAACTTTGCAAAGTGTGAGAGGTTCAAAGATTTGGACTTCAAAACTCATGAGTGGAGGCTTTGTGGACAGTTATGGCTTTTTGAGAGTATGAGATTTTGAGGGCTTATCTACACAACAAAACTTTTGGCCCTTTATCTTGTAAATGGCCTCTCTATTTATAGAGAAGGTTTGAGACTTGAAACAACTCAGATTTTGAAATCACATGTTATGATTATCTTGCTTGTTTTTGAAGCAAGCATGAAGAACATGTTTCCAATGTTTGTACCGAGCTATCTAAGGTGGTTGATCACTTTAAACATGTTTGTTATGACTTGTAGGAGTTGAGTTTGATTAGAAAAATAAGTTAGAGGCTCAAGAAATTGTCTTTGTGATTAAAGTGAATTTTTCAAGAATGGATATGTTACTTTCTTCCAAAAATGGAATGATCAATTGGACAACGGCTCAAACACTTGGATCATAGTTTAATCAGTTATGTAAGTATTTAATTAAGGAGTGATATACAAGTTTGAGGCCTGTAAAGTGAAAATTATGCAGCATAGCTAGGGTTTTGGTTCATTATTCATCACAAATCTGCCTTGTAAATCAAGTTTGAAACCCTAACTTCTTGCATTTGATTCTCTTAGCTCAAGTATGATCTCAATGAATTCTTTGACATTTTGAAAAGCTTGTAACACCCTCTACAACCTTCATGTTTTCTATTTTTGAATAATCCAATTGGAAATTGATGAAAATTGACCAAGAAGTTGGGATAAAAACCTAACCAAATTTGCTGAAAATTTCTCCAAGTGTTTATACAAAAATGTCACGACTTTATGAATTTATAACTCAAAACCCAAGCACTTATAGGACTTTATTAGCAAAGCAAAGTTGTAGATATCATCAAGATCTACAACTTTCATGTTGAAAGTTTTCTTTCAATCATCTTGCATCTTGGTGAAAAAATGACATGAAGTAATGAAATTATCATGTATAAAAAACACTTAGAAAATTTTTTAAGTCTTGAAAAGTTTGACTTTTCACATTGACTTTTGACTTTCTTGATTTCTTGATAATCAAGCTTTGTATTTTATGAATTGTGATCTTTGAAATCAAATTTTGACCGAAAAGTCAAAGTTTTACTTTTGGTGTATCAGTTGGCTTTTCATCATTTGACCAAATTTCAACTATCAATCTATTGATTTTGAAAAATGATTTAAGCCATGAAATTGGATCAACATGTTATATTTGAGTCTTTGAGATTATACTTCAAACTATTAGGTCATGTATTAGGTCAAAAGTCAATGATCAGTCGTTCTTAGCCAAAACCCTAATTTGTGGTCTCAGTGTTTCAGAGATGATTTCGTCTGACTAATTCCTTGAGAATCCTTGAGTATTGGAGGTCCTTTGTAAAATGTCTTGAGAAAAGAGAGGACAAATTTTGGGTACAACAGCTGCAAATAAGGGTGCTTTAATATTTCTGATGCCTGTGAGTTAGATAAAATGAAAGCCTTCAGGATAACTATTGAGTAATGATACAAAACCTTTTTCACATTAAAAATAATGTTACTCTTTAAGAGAGGCTCACTGTTGGACGATGTTCTGGGATTTTCTTCAGCATCCCTTTTATCAGTATTTTCTTGTGCGTTTGAGCTTACAATTCAACATTTCCAGTACACAAACATGCGCAGAGAAGAATGTAAAAAAGAAAACCAAACTCATTCTCCTATCTATATGAGTAGCAGAAAAAGTCAAGGATAAATAAGTTTGCATTCATTTTTTTGTGGCAGTGATAGTTCTCAACTTCATGTTCACTGATGATGCTTACCGTGATAACTAAAACCTACATGGTTTCAGCAGTAATCTGACTTCAATTGATCTCTGACTTTCTATCAAGAAATGATATTAGATGCTAAGCTTAGCAAAAATAGAAACTTACAAGGATGGGGAATAACAGGGAGGCAAAGCACCAATAGAGGGACAGCTTATCTTGCTTATCAAGCCGTCCATATCCTGAAACAGTACCATTCTTATCAAGAAAACTGACGCATGATAAGATACCTCCACATACATAAATATCCATACAATAGTGAGAACACATAAAAGCATAACCAACTCAAAATCACGTAACATTTCGATTAAAAAGTTCTGAAAACGGAAGGAAACTGATATTTCGATTAACAAATATCAGTCAAGTCTACCTAGAATCCCAGAATAAAGTTCTATCACAGATATCAGAATAGGGATCAAAATATAGGTCAGAATGAGGATTTTGGAAAGTGGTAGCTTGCAAGTATTCCGAAAGGTGGTAGCTTTAAAAAACACTGCATTAATCTGGATAGCAGCTTATTTACATAAACTGGTATCATATCTTTTTTGCCACACAAAATCTTAGATTTGCTAACTTTGGGGTCCTGAAATGAGATATCATGTTCAGATTTAACTTGAGGATAATGCACTAAAGGAATTCCCTAAAGAATAGAGAATATCTGTATTTGTAGTTAAAATAGTTATGGGAATACTAAATAAATGAAAATTATATAATTTTATTCCTTCTGGACCATTTATGGAAATTGATACGCTGTTTTTCTGTTGCATAATAAAAATCCTACTTTGCTGACTTGAATGAAGAAATGAGCTATGTTCATATATGACTTGCTGATTGTGCACTAAATGAATATGACCAGGTTGTGGCATGTCTATGTCTATAATGTACCAAGTGAAAATAAAACAAATCTTACAAAAGCTTTGAAAGCAGGGCGGTGAGCAGCCATCTCATATATACAACACCCTGTACAACAAAAATTGTAGATTTGGAACTGCAGCCAAACCGATATCAGATATTCATAAAAATATAAAAAAAAAAAAAATTTAGCTAGTGACCAAATATCAGATTTGAATCCATAAGGAATATCGGCAAACAGTTCAGGGCACATGTAGTTGGGAGTTCCTACGACTTGCAAGCAAATATTTACAACAATTAAATTCACATACACCTATCTTCAATATAGCAACAAATTGAAGCCTTCTGTTCGTATGAACAAATTAAGTTTTAGGGAATAACATTTGGAAGGGAGATGTCCAATTTTACTGCATGATTTCTAAGTGCGACTATATATGCGTGCGGGCGCGTGTGTGTGCGCGTGAAAGTGTGTCTGCGTGTGCGTGAGAATGTGTGTGTGTGCACGCATATGCGTAGCCGCGGGGATGTAGGATTCATCAATACTAAGGAGACATGTCAGAGAAAAATTTATAGTAGAAAGCATAGAAGTGAAAGAAGAAAGCAACAAGTTCGCAACGAGTTCCTAATTTCGCACATACCGAAGAAGTCAAATCACCCGCTTTTTGTGTCTTAGCAAGTCCAAAGTCTCCTATATAAATATCAGGAAATTACGGACAAATTAAGGATGAAGAATTAATCAACCATCTATGTCCAATGTAAATAAAAATTGGTATATGAACTCACCCAGGCAAACATCATGATCCTTGGTGAGAAAGATGTTAAAACACTGTCATCAGAGTTTGACAAAACTGAACATGGTATACTCTTAAGTGGAATTTAAAAAGAATAAAATGCCATGTAGTTTTTTTCATCCATGTTATACCTTTAGGTCACGGTGTAAAACAAATTTTGAATGCAGGTATTCTACCGCCAACAGTATTTGAGTAATCCATTTGCAGAGTTTCAGAGCAATGTCAAACACTTCTAATGTTAGCAACCAAAATATTTAAGCAAAAATCCTAAATTGAGGAAAGTTACAATATAAACAAGAATACCTCGTCAGAAAAGTAAACTCCATTTGATTTTTTCATCAATGCTGCTCTGAAAATATTTGAAAACATTTAAGCTATCGGATTTTTGGGCTCTTGAACATATAAATCAGATTGAGTACATGCATTTTCCATTGACTCACATGTCTCCACCTTGACAATATCCAGTAACAATGCAGACATAGAAACCCTACAATTCAAGTAAAACAATCACTCGATTACCATTCAACTATCCGATACAACAGAGAGCACAGCATTGAAAACTTAACAAATTGTTGAAGTGTGTTAGAACAAGCTAATGGTATAAGTTATTTTGATTATGTTGAATTAAATTGAGTTTAAAGAGAGGGCAAATTATGATTCAATATTTTTACCATGAAATCTAAAATTAGGACACATTTTTTAATTCAATGCAATAACTTCTTTTATCACTCTTAATATTGAAGTTCGGAGGCAAAATCAATTTACTATTAAGTTTTATACTTGTTCTCATATTAAATATTTTAAGGTCATGTTCACATTATAAAAAAAGTGTAGTAAACTATTTATTAAAACATTTTAATTTTAATACAATAGATAGTTTACTCTCTCTATCTCTAATTTTAAACTTCCATTGCAAACTTACATAATATCAAGAAAATATTAACAAAAATATTAACAAAAATATCGAGTGTGTTTATTTGTGTGAGAATGTTATTAAATTATCTTTTACTAAATATGTAGTCCATATTGATTTTTCAAATTTTAAGATAATTTTTGAAAAATAAAAATTAATAAATGCATACATCTAATAATTCCAAAGGAAATTTATGTTTAGGATTTTTTTTTCTTCCACATTGATTTTTCAAATTTTAAGAAATTTTGAAAAACTAAAAATTAATAAATACATCTAATAATTTGAAAGGAAATTAATATTTAGGAAGTACGGTGCAGATGACCTGACACATATACAACAATCTTGATAATAATTTGAAAAAATAATAAATTAAATATAATCACAAATGTCGATGTAGACGTTCAAGACCAACGCGGAGATACTTTTCTTTGGAGTAGTGTTGTGTAGAGTTACATATAGTGTTTATAATAGGAAACAAGAGTAGTTGTTAGGTGAATTGACACAAAGAAAGTTAAGGGAGTAGTGGTGTGGTGGTATTTGACCTTGTCAACCCAAGCCTCCTTGAATTCCACAATGTAAAGGTGCTTAATCCGAGCAATAAGATCCATCTGCAATTCCCAAAATCAACATCAATCCTTCAAATCAAGCAGCAAGAAAAAGGAATCACAGCAAAAACCTATATACCTCTTGATGAGCAGATTTTCTACACCGTTCAGTTTTCCGCGCAAGCCTAATTTTCTTCAACACGTATCTGCAACAACAACAACAAATAAACGAAAACGAAGAAGCTTCAATCGAAAACCCTAACATAAAACACAAATGGCGCGATCAAGTTAAACGTAGTAGTAGTACCTTTTCTTCTCCAACTTGTGATTAACGAGAATGGCAGCACCAAATGCACCGCCACTTATGGGTTCCATGATCTCGTACGGATCCATTCTAGAAACCATTACCAATTTCACTTTCAAAGAAAAATCAATTTCACGAGATATGTAACGGTTTCCTTTTCTACTGCATTGCTTTTGTAATGTTTGAGAAATCAATGAACGTCTTTTCTGCCCTTTCCCCTTTCCTATTACTCTTATCAATTCGGTTGTAACTGCATTGGCTACACTCATCATCACTCAACTGTGTCTCACAATTAAAACAATTAATTTATTATTTTATCAATTATGTTAAAAGTGGTAGTGTAAGCAGCTGAAGAACTGGTTTCTCTCTCTAGGATGAGCAGAGCATAAAAGAAAACCTTAGAGAGAGAAAGTAAGAGTCATACAATTAGGGGTATACACTTACAGGTGGTTCACACGGTATTCTCTAAACTTTTATTTTTTAACAGAAGTGTTTTTATCATTCGAGACCAATTCTTTGATTTTAGAGTTAGACACTCACATAGACACTCAGATAGGAGTCTTTAAAATCGAATCGATTCAATAAAAAATCATTAATTAAATCGAACAAAAACAAAAACGATAAAAAAAATTATATTTAGTTCGGATGTATTTGAGTCATTTTTTAACATAATCACGTGGTTCAGTTTAGAATTGCGCATAAGAAAAGTACTAATAATACCTGAAACTTGTTTAGAAATTGTTTAGTTTCGTATCACCATAAAAAACAGCATAGCATTGCTTTTTCTACCGCCAAAGCTGACTACATAGCCGCTGTTAATTGTTGTGCACAAGTCTTATGGCTAAAATAATAATTGTTAGATTTTGATTTAAAACTTGACTGTGTTCCGACCATGTGCGATAACACTAGCACAATAAACCTCACTAAGAATTTGGTATTTCACTCACGAACTAAACATATAGAATCCGACACCATTTTCTTAGAGATCATGTTGAAAAGGTGGGATGTTGTTTTTGAATACGTTGATACGAAAAATCAGTTTACTGACATTTTTACAAAATCATTATCATAAAAACTTTTCACAAAATTTGTAGGAAATTGGGAATCCTGGATTCCTCCTGTCTTAAATAGATTGGAATTTTTATTTAGTTTCGTTTGCTATGTTTATTTTGTTTTTTTACCAACAATCTCTTGTAGTAAATTATAGTTCCACCAACTCGATTGGTATATTTATATGGGTACGTTTGATTTGCATAATAAGAAGTATTAAACAGAATAGTACTAGACAATACAGAACAATATAAGATAACTTTTTATAGTGTACTGTGTTTGATGATTAATGCATTAGACAATTTTTTTTCTCGATTATACTTGATATGTCTATTTAGCAAACAAAATAATATATTTTTTATTATAATATTTTTTATTGATATATAAAGTATTGATATTTATGAATTAAAATTTTAAATTACGAGAAGAGAAGAAAAATGATAAATAGAATTTTTTCTATTTTATTTGATATCTCAATGAACGGAATAAAAATAATATAATTTTTATTATAATATTATTTATTGATATATAAAATATATTAATATTATATTTATGAATTAAAATATTAAATAATGAGAAATAGATGGTAAAAAATGATAGTTTGATATTTTTTTTGATAATTTGTGTCTGGGATAAAAAGTTGTCTCATAGTCTAGTGGGGGACAAGAATTCATGATTTTGTCTAGTCCTTTGCGATGTATTTTGTCAAGTATCGTGATTAATTCCTACATCAAACAAAATACACAAAAAGTTGTCTTGTTCAATACCACATTTTTTAGCAAATCAAACGCGTCCTATAACTCTTATATCTTGCTATATCATTGTGTGTATGTTTTTTATTCTGCATGTGTTCATTAGCTTGCTTATTACATTCTTAATTTCATTCATCTCTAACATGTTTTTGAGTTTTTCATCTTTCACTTAAAGTCTTTTTAAATGCATGTTTTTTCATCTTTCATCTTCATTCTAAATAGTTTGATCACTTAATTTTGTATAGATATGATGTTGCACATTTATTTGGATGTTTGTTGAATGTAGCATGTTTATATTTATGTTCTGTATCCGATCTTTGTTGTTGTATATTCTTCTTAGCTTTTTAGCTTATGTGTTCATCTAGAATTATTTCTTCTTTTGTTGTCGGTTTTTATGTGTTTTAGACTCATTACTATTCTAGACTGGGCTGACACTTGTCCCACTGTTGGAGAGGCCCAGTCCAGTGCCTCTGTCTATGGTCCAATAGCTTCAAGCCCAAGTTAGATAGCCGTTGGGGATTTCCCTCACGTGCCCATTAGAGAACATGTCCCTAGTCATCATCAACCACCATCTGCCCTCCAAGAATAAAGGGTCAACTGTCCCTATATTCTCGGGGCGCTTTACCAGGGTGGGAGCCACGTGTTGGACCCTATTGCCCACGTAAACCCTGACAATCCTTGTTGTTGGGCCCAAATCACTTGGTCCACTACATGGATCTTGTCCCAGTGCTGGGGGATATAAATACTCTCTCACATGAGAGGTTCGAGTATTTATTCATTCACTAATTCTACCTCACTTCTGTTACTCGCACTCTAATTGTCTAGGCTCTTACTTTGGCATCAGAGTATCGTGCAGGTACCTCCCACTTCACATTCAACCGCTGCTCAACTCGAAGCTCGTGGGCCTTGATAATCTCTTATGATCAGGTATGACCAGTGGCGCCGTATATGAGAATCCACTTCTCTATCTTTCACTAACTGAAGATCAAAGCAACTCTTTCTCAACCTTTGTCATGACCGACCAAGCTATCAATAATGACCAGAACGTTCAATTCACCGACCCCGACAACAACAACAACATTGCCAACAATAACAACATTGCCGCCCTCAAACAAGACCCCCGGGACAGGATGACCGCATCTTCCTCCACCTGCTCACAACTACACGATAACTCCCACCATCCTCGACAAAATTAAAGGCCGACTGCGTATCACGCGATCCCCGTTCCCAAAAATGCGATGCTATAACCAGAGCCATGTTCACGGCGATCAACTAGACAAATTAATTGATCTTCATGCAGGATGAGCGCCTGATGATGCTGGAATAGACTCGCTGGTCCCCTAAAAAGCACCGAAGACCTGATTCTCGAACTCCTCCTCTCCGACGGAACGAGGACCGCTCCCGATCTCCCCAATAGAGATAAACACGGGACGATTCTAAGAGCTTAACTCAGCGCCATACTGGGCGAGGTTCTGCATTAGAGAGGATCCAACCCTAAGTTGTCAAGAAGCACGGTCACATCCCCTCATGCAAAGAACGACGATCCCCTGGATAAAAAAGAAACATGGGTGAAAATGAGAAGAAGTCTCGGCCGAGGAACCCTCCTTGTGACCAAGACCGACACAAAGATCGTCGCTACTATCCGTCCCCCTCTCGCTCCCCAGAAAGAAGCGACGAAGAAGACCCCCGTGGTTCGTTGTCCCAGACCATCATGGAGGCCCGTATTCCTAAAGGGATGGAGAAGCCTCCCCTTATAAAGGAATACGGCAGTATTGCTGACCCCATCGACCATATCGATGACTTCGAAGCCATGCTTCACTATTACAACATCGGGGGGCCCATTAAATGCATATTATTCACCATGACGCTAAGGAAAACAACCATAGACTATTATAAGAGTCTACCCCTGGTTCGATCACCTCGTGGAGGAGTCTAAAGAACCAATTCATCAACGGCTTCACTGCATCTCATGGGCACCCAAAGACTGAGGCTGCCCTCGAGGCAATCGACCAGAGAAGCGATAAGACCCTCAAAGAATACATTAATCGGTTCAACCGCGAGGCCATTCAGATCCCCTGTACCGATCACATGAAGAGATACTTGCTCGAGAGGGGACTCCTCTCGGGCACTGAATGTAGAGAGGCCGTCAGTATTGAGCCCCCCAGATCTTTTGGTGCACTCCTCGAAAAATCCCGGGCATACATGGACTACGAGGAAAAAAAGGTCGCCAACAACGCCCGCGATTCGAGGAACCATAGACCAACTAATGTCCCGCGACACAATGACGCGGTCTCTTCTCGATGAGAAGGGGAGAAGATAAGGGAGGAGAAACCTCACGAACCTCGTGAGCACAGAGGACCAGTCGGGCAGTTCACCGAATACACCCCGTTGACTGATTCCCGCGAGCGTATCCTTGTAGAGTGCTTCAATGTTGAGTTCAAGGACGACGATATCAGGCGTCTTCGACCTACCCATGAAAAGCCTGGGGCCGACAGAACAAAGTATTGTCAGTACCACTAGAACCATGGTTATCTGACCGAAGACTGCGTCCACCTGAAGGATGCCATCGAGACTCTCATCAAGGCAGGGAGACTCGGGCAATACAAGAGGAACGACGCCCCTCGTCGGGATACCCGCGATGTTAAAGAAATTGGGGAGGATGTTCGACCATCCGATGACTCTAGCCCCCTCCAGGTAGCCTTCTGCATCTTAAGGCCCGAGGACTTCCATATCCCCGACAGTCTTGAAGATGACAAGTCTTTGTTCACCCACAACAGATGGGAGAAGTTTCCCTCCACCATGGTCATATCTGGAGGGGGACTCACTGACATCTCAGTAAATTCAGCGAAGAGGAAACTCAACGATCTAGTGGATGCAGCCCCGATCCAGGCTGTAACCCTTGAAAGATTCAAGGGAAAATCTGAGCTAATCACCTTCTATCTCGAGGAGCTGCCCGATGGAGCCCCCAACTCCAACATTTATCTGCTGGTGAGGGTAAAGATGGCCAATTTTGATATACATCACATCCTGGTCGACGAGGGGAGTTCCATTGACATCATGTACACCCAATTGTTCCACACCCTACAGATTGACGATACCCACCTGTCACCATATGTGGGGTCTGACCTGTAAATATTTAACGGTTTGACCTCCAAGCCATGGGGCTACGTTGAGCTGTTCGTCACATGCGAAGAAGAAACTGCATCCTGATAGGTCAAAGTGAGGTTTCCGGTGATCGATTGCCCGTCTCTCTACAACTGCATCCTGGGGAGACCAACACTGGCCGAGCTGACACTAAG